CAATTAACACAAGTGATGCACAATATAATTGCTCACCACCCGCTAACCAATATCCAACCTGACCCGAGCAGTGATCAGTCCCTTCTGGGTAACTCCCGCCGGTTTATATACTGGGCACAACGTGCTGTGGTATAGAATACTCCTTTGTCTAGTTTGGGTCAGGTGTCCTGTCTCTGCTTCCTCCTGGTTTTCCATGCCTCTCCTCACTGGCAGAGCATGAAAGACTGAAAAGCCCTTGATCAGAGTAAAGCACTACTTAGCAACAATTAAACCACAGGTTTAATTGTTATCAGCACTGTTCTCAAACTAAAGCCAAAACACAGCATTGCACCAGCTACTAGGAAGGAAAAAAAACAACTGTTACAGCTAAACCAGGACATCTGCTACATTCTTCAGTGCAATTATGGCTGATATCCTCAGAATAGGATATATTCAAATACAGACTGGTCCTTCCAGATCTTTTCAGCTGCAAAAAGCTGTATAGACTATGCATCTCTATAGACAATGCATCTGTCCAACTACAGCTACAAAAAATCCCTACTGATATTCCACAAAGGAAAATTCCACCCTGTTCCCAAAGCTGCAACATCTGTCTCTGGTTTGGAAGGCTGGAATTCAGGTCTTTGATTTTGTCTGCAACAGGTTGGAAAAATTACTACGTTGGAAAGATTTTTCCAACAAGGCCTAGGGATTATGCCTTCATTTCAATCCTTTATCTCTAATATGAATTTAATATGTGTCATGTAAATACTGTAGATAAATAGCTGATTTATTGTTTAAAATGCACACACAGAGACATATATATACATATATACTCTAAATAGAAAATCTTTTTCCAGAATTATAATTATTCTGCAGTTTTCTGAATGAAGGTATCTGTTACTGCTGTATATTTCCCACTTAAGGCAGATGAATACAGAAATGAGTTTAATAAAAATGTAGAGTTGGAAAATCTGTCTTGCAGGCATTCAAGTAGAATCCACAACCTTATATCAGACATCTCAGACCTCAGGATGAGCAACAGAAAACATGGGATCCGTATCAGCCACCAAGTCCCTTGAGAAGGGACAGCATGTGTAGAGTACCAGATCTGGTTAACATATATGGCTTAGGTCCTGGTAATCCTCCCCAGGATCAAGCCTCACCAGGCACTTAGGTAAAGTAATCCCCCA